TTGAATTATGAAATTAACAAAGTATCAGATTGGTTTAAATCCAATAAACTTTCCTTTAATACAAAAAAGACTCATTTCATGTATTTTAAACATCATTCTCATAATACAGAAACACCTATATATATTAAAATCGATGGTATGCTACTACAGAAGAAAACTAATTCCAAGTTTTTGGGTGTTCTTATAGATGAAACCTTGACTTGGAATGATCATTTACACCAAGTTACAATGTGCATTTCCAAAAGTATTGGAATAATCTCCAAGTTAAAGTTTCTTCTACCCCATGCAACCTTATTCCTACTATATAATTCGCTAGTTCTCCCGTATATAACATATTGTAATAGTGTATGGGCTAATTGTGGTTCGACAAAAATCAATTCTATTTTCAAACTGCAAAAGAAAGCCATACGTATTTGTACAGGTTCGCATTTCTTAGCTCACACTGATCCTTTATTCTATAAACTTAAAACACTAAAAATTTTCGATCTGAACACTACTCAAGTAGCAGTTATTATGTTTAAGTACATTAATAATCTGCTTCCACCATCCTTTGATAACATGTTTAGGTTTAATAATTCCGTTCATTCATACTCTACTCGCATATCTGGAAACTTCCATCTTACAAACCCCAAATTATCAATAACACACAAATCTGTTAGACATTCTGGCCCGGAAATTTGGAATGATTTACCCGACAACATAAAGTCTTGTTCAACCATCTACTCCTTAAAAGCTACACTTAAACGACAAATAATACAATCATATGCTCCCCCTCTCTAAATTAGTATAACAAAACCGTGACTTATTTATTCTTTATCATGCAACTGCTCACTGCACCTGCACTTGCACCGCACCCTCTTGATCACTCAGTTTTTCGAAGAGAGTTATGTCGCCAATTCTTTTTACGAGGCCGCCATCCATCTCCAGCCTAACCGCTCACGATGGTGGTCTCCTGCGTTCCGAATTACCTCTCTAATTTATTGAATATATTTCATATTTCTTATGTTATTGTATGCTTCGTACATGTTTATCGAATGATATAATATTGTACACGGATTTTTCATTTAATTACTTTTGTAAACATTGTAATCATTGTATTTGTTATTGTTCGAAATTTTGTACTTTGACTTTGAATTTGTATATTTTTGAACGCAGAAATAAAATCAATCAAACAAAAAAAAAATATTCTTAAAGCCGGCATATTCCTCTTTGCATAAAAGAAAATGTATAAAAAAAACTGGAACTATACGAAGTAAATACAACATCCATGGAGCTCTTGGTAAACATAAGAAAGGAACATAATATATATTAAATGATTGCAACCAAAATAATAATTATTACAAATTAGCTTGTGTATCAGTTTCTAAGGAATTGATTGATAAAAAAGTTTGCACGATAGGGCATTTGATTACACGATGAAAATGGGAATATACTAGATGAATATATTGAAACCTCTTATACTGTTCGTTTGCCACTTATTCTCATGTAGCTGAGACGGATGCCAGAGTATGTACCAGCCTAATGTCAAATTATGAAATTTCGAGACCAAAAAAAAAAAAAAAAAGTGTCCGCTTACCCCCCCCCCCCCCCCCCCTTGAAAAAATCCTGCGTACGCCCCTGGTACCAGCACACCCTTTTTGACGGATGCTTAATCTTCCTCATTAGAATATCATAAGTAAGTCAAGTAGTATGATGAATAAGAATTTTCCTTCCCGCCCAGTTGTAAAGTTTCTGTAATAGACCTAGATCTATACCAAAATGCGAACACGTACTCCCCACAAAATACTCCTTTTGTGTTTGCTACCCTGAAGATACCGTACGTCCCTGGTGAATGTAAACAAATTTCAATTTTGAAAAGTGCTGAGACCGTTTTCCCATCTTTTAATCTAGTTTTGATGCGAAACGTCACCTTTTAGATCGAAATTTCATCTGGTAAGTAAATCCTGCTATTCTATATTTAACTTGCGTATGTTTACGATTGATCTAGTCTAGTATGTTCACGGTGTATGGAGCTATAGATTATTAGAGTCTAGATCTAGATCTAATAATATATTTTTCAAAAGCCCGTTCATGCCGCGTACAGTTTCATGATGTGTGTACTTGTTTGAGGATGCAAATCCGATCGTGACTGTGTGTTGTCTGGCGATGTACTGCGATAGGAGGCTCCGCCGCCCGCCGAAGCTCCTCGGCCACTAAATATACACATCCCCGAGCGAAGCTACGCACGGCGTCTGGTCAGGCTACTCGGCCACGTGCATCTGGGTGGTGGGGGAGTTCTGAATTTGAATCTGAAAATACTCATCAGCATCAGTAGAATCTATACGGAAGTGTGAGGTGACGTGATCCTGTTGAAACTTCCGGTCATGCCAACGATGGAGTAAAGTAAGAAGGACTGGGTGTTTGCATGAAATAATAAACAAATATATTTTTCACTGAAAATGCTGTTGTCTGTGGAACATGAGAATCAGTGAACGATGAACCTGGTTGGTATGTATAGAAGTCACAATTTCAGTCTGTAAAGTGTCATGACTCAGACTCAAGACTAGGACCCCGTTCTCACTCACTTCCTACTATCCTAGACTGATCCAGACTAGACCCTATGCCTAGATCAGTCTAGAGTCTATAACTGTGAGTGTGAACAGACAAGCGGTCCAGCCGTCCAGGAAGCTGGAAGCGATCTTCTGGACCGATCCAGAAGCTAGAAGATCACTTCGCAAAGTGGTCTTCTGAACCAGTTCACTTCCTAGATTGCCCCAGACCGATCTAGCTTGCAGTGTGAACATAACCAATGCAGGAAGCATTCTTCAAACAGAAGTGAGTGTGTTTTGGCGGGAAAGTAATGAAAGAAAGAAAGACAATGATAAAAACAAAGAATAACATAAGAGAAGGTGAGAGAAGGAAGAAACGAAGAATAACACAAGGAAAGACAGAAAGAGAAAATGTTAGAATGATAAAAAACAAAAAACAATATTTAAAAAATATTTAAAAAAACGTGTCGCAGCCCAATGGCTAAATTGGTCATGTGTACAATTAAAAGACTGTAATTAAATTACATATATTTCAAACCTAAAATAGAGTTACAATTGATTTGTCAATATTGAAATATCTTGAAGTTTGATATTGCAAGTATTTGTATTATTGCTTAGAAAAGTGATATAAAAAACTACAATTATGGCAATCTATCATTCATTTTCTTTCAGAAATAAAGTGGCTATTGAAGGGAAAGGGAACAGTATTTTGTTATTTTGGTTTCTTGTTATCTTATGGAGACTGAGAGTAAAAATCAGGAAACTTCAACATTTATTAATAGAATATATAATTCAAATAAAATATATATTAATTCATCTATTTTGATTAATTGGGCTTGGCTTTATTGAGACGATCAACAAAGTATTATATGTAGGGGGCTATTTTAGAAACGATTGGTTTTGCACTTGAATTGTTGATATCTAGAAGCATGGTGTAAGGAGATGGCTGTGTTTTTCGAAGGAGGTAAGCAGGACCAGGTACATGTTGGGTGTTTAGCTAAGGATGTAGCAAAATCCAGACAAAGCTTTTCTCTTCTGCATCTAATTCAAGCATTCAAAGGTTACATATTTGGCAAGCATTGGTATAATTTATGTGTTCTGGACCCAACATGATTCTACATACTCTTTTTTTTGGCTTGTTCCCCAAAACTTACAATTGAGTTTGATCAATCTTCTAATAAGAATGTTATGATGCAGCATTTCGAAAGCTTTGCTGGAGTCAGTACACAAAACAGTGGATAAACTCTTGCTCTTTTCACCATTTTCATGACAAATTGTGGAGTAAAATAACCAAGTGAGTGGTCGATAAACCAGGGCGGTTTCCAAATTGTGGGCATCAATTTTGTCGACGATATCCTTAAAGAGCCATTTAGCTATGAAAGATTCAGCATTTTTTGCAAACTGACTCGTTAGTGCAATTGGTAGGAGATTATTGCTGGTTGCTGGTAATGATTTTGGATTAGGGGTTATCCAATCTTGCTTCCACTGTCTTGGTACTATTGTAACTATCCCTTGTTGAAAGGATGATTAATCAGATCTGTTAAAGGTACACCCAATTCATATGCAATTTTTTTCAAGATCTGAAGAGGCAAGTCATTGGTTAATCCAGCTTTACCAGTCTGTAATTTTTTAAATTTTGAATGCACCTCATAAACTTGAGCCTGAGGACATGAACATGGACATGGTGAAAAAAAAGCAGGTAATGTTTCTCTGTCAAGAGATGGAAGGCCAGATGCTATTGACACAAAATGTTTGTTAATTGCATTCGCTGCTACTTTAAGTCGTTTTGGATCAGTACCAGGGATATCTATAGTAACTGGGTCAGTAATCCTATTAGTAAAGTATTTTGTATTTTGATTGTACCATGCTGATTGGTTTTCAGGTTTTAGATTACTGACATGAGTGCTTCAGATAGGGAATGAATAACTTTATTTCTGAGAACAAGCCATAATGCTTCGTTACTTTTCTTGAAGGCCTTTTGCCTACTTTGGATTAAAGATTAGAGACATTTTCCAGATGAATCTTTTGTTTGGTAGATTTCTTCCCATTTGTGTCCTGTGATCCATTGACCCAAAGCCATTAATCCACCATCTCTTAAAGCCCCAACTAGTTTGGCCAGGAGGGATACATGTACAGGGTGTATGTGTAGTTTGACACAGAACCATTAATTGGTATGCTGTGTAGAGAGTGGACATGAAGAATGGTGCCAATCACAAAGAGAGATGAGCACAAAAGGATGGAGAGCACAATACAAGATAATTTTTTTAAGTAGGCCATTGTCAATCCAGAAACTGGTTTGACCAAGATGAAGAGTGAATAGGATTAAGTAAACTTCAAGTCAATAAAGCAGGTAATCAGATTAACAGTTCAAAGTAACACCCTTAAAGTGAAACTAGTATGGCCATTGTTGCCCCCCCCCCCCCTCTCTGAGCATAACTCTATAGGCCTCTTTATCCTCCACCCTCCTTTCTCTGCCCCCTCTCCTTGGAATGGTATCCCCTGAAAGTCTGCTTGGGACATTACAACCATGTGGTCATTCTCTTTTTGCTCCTGAACATTGTGAGGGGAAGACGTGTACTGGTAATGGCTCCTTTTATAGGTAAGAGAAAAATATTCTCACTATTCTGACATTCTCATTCTCAATCTAGAGTGATGTATATACCTGTATATTGCTAGGTAAATGCATTTCACTTCTTAAAACTTTATTCACATGATCATGATGATGAATATCATTTAAATGCGCTTTCTCAGTCAGACTCGGATGACCTTTCATTGTAGGACACTTGTGATTTGCTACATACAGTGAAGTCTTAGTACATTCTCTGAAGACTTGTTTATTACCTTGCCTGAGTGGGTACTGAGTGAGAGTAATGTTGGTCAATTGATATTTCATAGGCATACATCTCCTGTGGATTAAAGTTGTATTATATACGTAAACAACTGTTGGCTTTTAGAGCATCCCTTGTAAATATAGTACTAGGTATAATGATCCCGATTTGGAGAAGCTACATATAGGCATACAGAGTCTGAATGACTTGGACCAGATGCTAGTTGAAGGACACAGAAGGAAAAGGTCTGTGTAAAGAAAGGATTTGATTGTTTTAGCAGGGAACACTCTCCCTGGTTTTAGTACATGTGCTACATTACATGCATGCACGCTACTGTTTTAGGGATTCTAGGGGATTTTTATACATCGCTTACTCTTTAATATTTGACTGTTTACAAGTTACAACCTATGCAGACCTGCCAACCAGTACGATTTAGTCATATTCAGTACGATTTTTAGAAGCAAATACGACAGTACGATTTTCCTCAATAAAATACGATTTTCCAAAAAAAAAAAAAAACGATTTTTTTTTTTTTTTTTTTTTTTTTTTTTTTTTTTTTTATTTATTTATTTTTTAAATTTATTTTATTTATTTTTTGGATATTTTTTCTTGGTGGTATTTTGTGAGTGTGTGTGTACCATTTCCAATGGCAAAATGCCCATTCTGTCCTATAAAGTATCCTACAAGCATCTCACATTGGGGCTTTAGGGATGTTCATTGGTTCATCGAACACACCAGTCGTGATGAAATCATGCATATTCAACCAACGATCCTTTAAAAAAAATTCTTCCTGCATTGAACCGCGTAACAGTCCGTGTTTATATTTAAGAATACAACTTTTGTCAGTAAAATACAACTTTTGGGATTAACGAATAGAGTTTTTGAACTCCAGAGGTTGGCAGGTCTGCCTATGTTTTGCCTTACTATGCCTCTCTGTACTGACCTCCCTGCATAACATTAATTTAAACACAAATCTGGTATTACAATAGTATGGCTGCTATATCACACCAGCATTTGCAGCATCTATCAGCAACAATTTGAACTTTTGAAGTCATAAAATACACTACAATTCAACACCAGATTTCAACATAAATGGTCTAGTAAGTTCCATGATAATTCACAATAAAACTGGTATCATGATTGATCACGGTAGTCAGCGCATACACACAAAACTTGACAAATCAATTGGAGCGACGTCACGGGCAACCCATGCCCATGCAAGAAGAAAGAAACAAGAAAGCGTAAGGAAAGATAGGGAGAGAAAATAATAGAATAATAAAAACAATGAATAACATAACAGAAGGTGATTGAAGGAATAACAAAGAACAGGATAAGGAAAGGTAGGAAGAAAATGATTGATCTATAAAAACAAAGGATTACATAAGAAAAGGTGATAGAAGGAAGAAGCAAAGAATAACATGAGGACAGATAGAAAGAAAAAATGACAGAATGATAACAACAAACAATAACGTAAGAGATGATAGAAGATGCAATCTACATGTATGATCTAACTTTCAACCTGCAAGGAATGGGAGCACTCGCAGACCTCGTATCAAATTCGCTGCCAAAAAAAAAATCATGGGTGATTTTGAAGCAGTGAATTTGCGCTGCAAATTGCAGCTCAACACCTCAAAGAAACTTAGAAAATTGAATTTTCAGAAAATCATATTTTGTATTACAGGTAGTAGGGGCCTTTTTATACACTCCAGAAATCTTAGTAGATTTGCCTGAAAAAAATGTCTATTTTGTTTTCTGTTTTTTTCTAGGCTAAATATAAAGAAAGTTTTATCGGTAATGGGCCTGATGTTTCTCTTTTTACACTCGCATGTTATTTTTCACTTACATGTTATTTTTCACTTACATTAAACATAGGATGGTTAGGGGTAAGACTGGAAAACATAAAACAGATTTTTCTGTATAAATGTGCCTAACTAAAAGTAAAACTAGAGATTGCACACCCTCGTAAAATGCTATGAACTTAGATTGCTACTTCCCCATTCACTTCCACCTGGCATTGTTAGTGGGTGCCTTAGTTACCAACTTTAAATTTCCAATATTTAGATCGCCTTTGACAGTGGCAAAATATATTGCCTTGTTAGTACGAGATTATAATCTGTTCTTTTCTTATAATGCAGGTCAAAGGTTGACATCGGGTAGGCAACATGGATTCCTTCAAGGTTGTCTACCTCCAGGTGTGCCGGGAGAATAGGATCACCCCGCAGCAGAGTGTCCTAGATCAGCTGATGGATGCGGACCCCAAGTCCTCTCTCCATAGGAGTGGGTCCAGAAGTAGGTCCAGGTCCAGGTCTTCCCTTACCACCCTTGACCTGTCCACGACCTCACTGACCGTGCAGACATGCTCGGTGCTAGGAAGGGCTCTGGCAACCAATCATATCATCCAGGAGCTCTTGTTGTCGGATTGCATGATTGGAGATGAAGGTATTTATTTGAAGGCATTAATCTTCATTTGCCACACTCAACCCAGGTGAGGTAAATGGGTACCTGGCAGGAATTAATTCCTTGAAATGCTGGACCACTGTAATGGTAGCTAGGCTAAAGCCGAAGTAATAATACATGTATATGCGCCTCTGAAAAGAATTCTAGATAGAACGCGCTATAGAAATGCCTATTATTATTATTATTATTATGTTTTTTTCCATCCAAAGTCTTGCTCACAAAATGAAAGAATTATTAGAAAATTATTGAAAGATTAATTCCTTATCTAAATGAAAAATACACTCCATTTCTATGGTAGTTCATACAGTTAGTTTTATATTCAGTTTACGTGCACCTACTACGAAAGTTTGCCAAGAAATGGGATATCCGATGAGTTTACCAACACTGGACTAAACAAGAATTTTTATTTACCTCGTGAAACATTCCAAAACCTGTTAACACGTGTGAATACAATCTGGGCCCCATTTCACAAAACTTGTCATCAGTGACAAATGACAGTTTTGTTATAAGCTACTGAAATGCTTGCTTCTGATTGGTTATCAGCAGATTTGTCACTGATTTTTGTCATTTGTTATTGATATCAAGTTTTGTGAAACACTTCCCTGATCTATATATCTTTTGTAGGTGCCAAACACCTGCTCCATGGGTTATGTTCAAATACCTCTATCAGAGCCTTGGACCTCAAAGGGAACAACATGAGAGGGGCTAGTGCTGAGGCCATGGGAAAACTATTCAGACAGAACCATTCAATCAAAAGGTGAGTTATGTGTACAAACAAGGATGGATATATTAAAGTCGTCAGATACATGAAGGTGTTTCTAGTGAGTTCAAGTGAGTTTATTGAAGTCCATTTGGTACCATTTTGCCAAGTTTTCTCTTATGGGTTTTTTTTTCAGGCACAGTGTTCAACAAGGTATCGACCAGTTTTGGAAACGCCCCCCCCCCCTTCCCCTCTCAAAAAATGAATTGGAAGCTCTTATTACCAATCATGTGAAATAATATGTTTTGACTAATACGTGATGGTAGAAATTTTGCCGGGAAACCGCCTACTAATTGATATATTTGATATATTTGGTAAATTATTATATCTATCTGGACTGGATAGATATCGCGTAGTCCCATATACATCTTTTTGTGTACAGTGCTTGTAACTTTACCAAGACTGGGCCAAATTTCTTATCATTTTGATGATTCCAGAATCTTGCAGTACACACCAATACTTATATGCTAGATGATCAACCTTTTCTGATTGATTCCACGTTTCTTTCACAATGCAATCGCATGCCCAGAACTGGTCTATACCTTTAATGCTATTTTTTAAAATAAAGATGTGCTACTTTAAGTAATAGCTTTGACAAATATTCTTTTTTTAAAGACTAATTTCTTATCAATGCCATGATGAAACTCACTCTGACACCCCTTCTGAAGTCCTATCACAATGTTGATGAGTGAATCTGAGCTATAACTCTTGTTCTAAAAACTCAATATTTCATTGCTAATTCTTTCACAATGCCATCACATGACCAGAACTGGTCTATACCTTTAATGACTACCTGTACTGTATTTTTCAAACTGTTTTAAAATCTGCAGTTCTTTGTTAAATCCAGCACTCTTTCTTGAAAGATGTGACTGTAGTTATCTATCCTTCCTCTGAACATTGTCCTTTTCTTTGACTCAGGATCTGTCTGGAATGGAACGCTTTAGGCATAGAGGGCGCAAGATTCACCAGCCTGGCTGAAGGGGTGTCAGCAAACAGCAGTCTGGAAGTCCTAGACCTGAGGAACAATCAGATCGGCCATGATGGAGCCAGCCAGCTCGCTACGGCCATCACCAGGAACAGCTCAGTACAGAATATAGGTTAGTCTCTGATTTTTGTGCTCAGGGATCCCCATTACCCTTTAAAAATTGTGTTTCAAGTTTTTTATTAAAATCACTTAAATCAGGGAATATATCAGTGACTTTGTTGGGCTCAAAGGATAATATGTTTGTATGTTCTATTTGTGTCCAGACAGCACTGGGTTATTGGCTATAGTGGTTAAGGAATTTGTAAAATGCCTCCTTTAATGGTCCTGGAATTTTTAGAAATCCATCGGTACAGGGAAAAATCAGGGATTTTGTTTTTATAAAATGTGGGGAACCCGGTATGTTTGATCACTGTAAATAATATGATAAATGAGATTTGATGTAGTCTTGAAGTTGTTGATCTTTAGGAACAATTGGACTTGGAACCGTGAGATCACTCACAACCAACCCAGTCAGCTTTGCACAGTTATTACCATAAACAGCTCACTTGTGAACATAAAATTGCTGTTCGACATGTTTATCTCAATCTTTAAATTTTTATTTATTTATTTATTATTGTTATTTTTTTAATTTTATTTTTTTAATTTTATTTATTTTTTATTTTTTATTTTTTTTTTGGGGGGGTTCTCTGTCTGATTTTAATTATTCCACATTATTGCGGCAGCATATCATTTGTTGTAGAGTTAACATCATTTCTAGCTCTCAACAGGCAACATGTTTTATCGTGCACAGAAATCAAACTAACTCTCACATTGAAACATGGTCGTGGAAATGAAAGCCATATAATTAATTTCTTTTTGATTATCTATCAAACAGATCTTAGATGGAATAATGTTGGTATCGTTGGTGGGAGATCTCTATTGGCGGGCCTACAGCATAACCAGACCGTAACTGAGATGGATCTAGCAGGCAACGATATACCACAGGACATTCTGAAGGCTATTGGTAAGTCGCCCTCATTTCAGAAATTAATGTGAATTTATACGCCTGACCTGCCACTTAAATTTAAATGACACAAACTGGCCTGGGGTCAGGGTTATACGACAACTGCTCCTACGACTATTGCTCTGTGTCAATTTCCTACACTATCCGGATTCTTAACTTCCAGCCTGGAGTTTAAAAAAAGATGTTTTGTTTCAAGGACCTTCAAACATTCCCTGGCCCTATCAATATACCTAACCATAACCCGATCTCTAAACCTAGCCTAAATCCCAATTGCAACCCTAACCCCAACCCTATATCTTTGCCGAAATAAAGCCCGTAGCGATTGCCAAGGGCATGCAAGTTTACCTAATTACATATTCATGCATCAATTACTGAGAAACTAATCATAGTTATCACATTTCCACCACTTGTTCAAGAGATAAAACATTCATCAATCAGCACAAAAATGATCACCTCAATCAGACTAATTGTTCACACATTATCCTTTAGAAAATAAAGGCATTTTCCCGAAAATCATGAATTAATAAAAACAAAGAAATACAACAGGCACATTTCACGCATTCAATTATACACACTAACATCCAGTATAACCCAAAGTGAAGGAAAAGAAAGGCAAATTTTGTCCATTTATATACAAATTTTTTATAATTTATGAAATCAAAATCAATATAGGAGTCCAAAAATATGTACAAACAAGACTTAAAACCCATAAATTATAGATTAATTAAGTTTCTAATCTACTTTTGTTAAGAGCTGTCCGGCATCAGCCTTGCTGTTTAAAGCAGGACAGCTCTGAATACTGAACAATAGTCAAGAGAGCCGAAGGCGGTGGTGGAAATGGCAGTGTTTAGCTTTCTTCCGGCCCTAAATCTACTACACTAGTCTACAGTACTACATTCATCTACAAGTTTAAATCTAATATATACATATTTACATATACAAAACTAATTAATCTTAATTAAAAGTGAATAATCAAATATATACACAATAATATAATAGAAATTGGAAATTGGAAAATCCAGTGGACAGAACAATATATACAAAATAAGTAAGAAATAAATTAATTGAAAGCAAAACATCACAACTAATTAATTAATTACAAAAGATAATTCCCTTAAAAAGCCCCAGCCTCATAAACTACCCCCTCCCTTTCTGCATACCCCTCCTCTTTCTGTGAACTGTGAACCCTATTTGCCTCCCTCTTTCTCTTTTCAACCTCTGTCGCCCTAATTTCTGCCGCCCGTAATCTATTGCTATCCTTTCTTTGCAGCAATGACAAGGTGTGATCATACATTGTAACATTTAATGCATTAAAATTCTGTTGCGACCTTGCTCTGCGCCACAGTTGAATGCAAGCACAGCCATGTTGACTGCGATGCGGACAACGCGTGGACCTCTCCACAGGTGTTTAGGACACCGTTTCCAGATGAGAGCATTGAAGCTCTCGTTCTGGTTCTGGGTGTAGCCTGGGAGGCATCTTGAGAGAAGATCTGGAGCACTAAGTCGCTTGAATGTAGGCAAGAGCAGATCAAGAAACACCACATCAAGGTGATGGTCTTTGTCTACCATGCTGCCTGTATTTCTACACTCACACCAGCCTTGACGCACTTCATTATCAGCAAGTTTGACCTCATGATAAAGGACTGCCAATACTGCCCTCTGCATACGTTCTACTGCCCCTTGTCTTTCCCTATCATCCCTATATGCTACCTACGATAAAATTTAGACAAACGCCCTATTGACCCTGTATTGCTTGTCCCAGTTAACCGACCCTTCCCCCCTCCCACATTCTTCCCATCTGACAATTTACCCCTATTATCTTTGCGAAATTCATTTAAAGCATGATACATCCTCTTCCCTACATGCCCTACACAGTCATGTTTCTGTACTAATTTTTATGCCTCCGCCACCGAAGGTGGTGCCGGAGGCATCATGTTTTCGGGTTGTCCGTCCGTACGTCCGTCCCGTTTGACCGTTATCACAATATCTCAAGAACCATTTAAGATTTAAACTTAAAGACTCGGGAATAGTATTTATCACCATAGGAAGACGATCTGATTAGATTTTGGAGTACGTAGGTCAAAGGTCACAGGTCACAGAGGTCAACTTATGAAATTCCTAGTATTGAGATTGTTAGCGCGATATCTCAAGAACCATTTGAGATTTAAACTTCAAACTTAAGGATAGTATGTATCACCATAGGTAGACGATCTGATTAGATTTTGGAGCACGTATGTCAAAGGTCAAGGATCACAGAGGTCAACTTATGAAATTCCATACATTGAGATTGTTATCATGATATCTCAAGAACCACTGGAGATTTAAACTTCAAACTTAGTGATAGTGTGTATCGCTATAGGAAAACAATCTGATTACATTTTGGAGCACGTAGGTCAAAGGTCAAGGGTCACAGAGGTCAACTTATGAAATTCCATACATTGAGATTGTTATCATAATATCTCAAGAACCACTGGAGATTTAAACTTCAAACTTAATGATAGTGTGTATCACCATAGGAAGACAATCTGATTAGATTTTGGAGCATGTAGGTCAAAGGTCAAGGGTCACAGAGGTCAACTTATGAAATTCCATACATTGAGATCGTTATCGCGATATCTCAAGAACCACTGGAGATTTAAACTTCAAACTTAATGATAGTGTGTATCACCATAGGAAGACAATCTGATTAGATTTTGGAGCACGTAGGTCAAAGGTCAAGGGTCACAGAGGTCAACTTATGAAATTCCATACATTGAGATTGTTATCATGATATCTCAAGAACCACTGGAGATTTAAACTCCAAACTTGTTGAAATTGCTCGATGGCGGAGGCATCATTTTCGACTGCACGCAGTCAAAATTCCATCTAGTTTTTCATACTTCTGTCAAAAGTAAAAGTGCTTACCTGTACCATGTACATTCAAAATAGCTGCCGTTTCATTGACAAACATCTAACAACTTCTTATCCATGGGTTTGGGGGAAATTTCAAGGTTATGGCAACCACTTTTGATTTTAAAAGTTGCTTAGTTGAATTTGTTATGTCAGAAAACATATTAGACACTAAAATCATTAGAATCATTAGGACGATGTTAACTGTGTTGGTGAATTTCTAAAGTGCATTGGCCTTTTTTACCATAGCACCCTCATTTAAGGTCGGAGGTATAACAAACTACCGTATACATTTCTGGAATCCTTATGACCAGACGAGTAATTTGATATGCAATTTATTAAGGTTAACTGTGTTGGTGAATTTGACCACCAGTCAAAAGTGTGTTGACTTTTCAACGTTTTTGACCGTAATGCCCTCATTTAAGGTCGGAGGTATAGCAAACTATATATTTTTGGAATACTCATGACCAGACGAGTAATTTGATATGCATATTGACACGATTGAAACTATTTGAATGTCTATCCCTGTGTGACCTTTGTTGACCCCTCACGAAAATGCCTGGGATTTTCAAGGGGGCAGCCCAATAGTCAAAATTGTTCGGTATTCATCAGGGAACACAAAAACACTTTCAAACCTTTGTTCCCAGAGATTGGTCACGGGACCTACAGGCTGGTCTCCTACTACCATCTGTCTATTTGCAGCCCTCTATCATCAAAGTCCATTTTATTCTTTTCATCACATTCCATCACCATCAACATTCCTGTTACCATCACCATTCCCTTTAACTGCTTCATGTTATGCTCACTCTCCCAACTTTTAATAGTGTGTTTTGTTCTTCCTTTCATGTCCATCCTATGGTCCAGTACATTTCTTCTCTCCAGTATGATTGGTCAAGCCCTCATTCAATATTCAAAGCAGCTCATTTATATGCACAGAAACTATGCATATTCATGTACCTCCTTTCATCTACAAGCTCTGTAATTTGAATATTCATGATTTACAGTTGTCATACAAATGTACATGTAAATAGAGATATGCAAATTAAACCCCTGAGGTTGCAAGCATGCATAATCCCAGGCAGTTCCCCCACAGGCAAGCAAGGAGTGAAGATGTACATTTGTTTGTTCTCTGCAAGTTATAGCCACGCCTTGCCTTAGCTGCAAACGCCACCCTACACTACCATAACTGTTTAGTATCTTACATACCGGTATTGAAACAACAGGACTGTTACTGGAGAGAAACAAAGTTAGAGCCACGCCTTGCCTTAGCTTTCATAGGCCACTCTACGCTACCATTTAACTGTTTAGTATTTTCCATATTGAAACAACAGGACTGCTACTGGAGAGGAATAAAGAGCGAGCCAGCCTTTCGGCCACACACCAGACAAGGCAGGATATCATGACCAGAGAAATCAAGCAACTTAAGAATGAGAAACATCAGCAGGTACAACATTTTTGATATATTTTGTTTTCTTTAACCCAAAGACAATGGTTATATTGATATTTAATAGTTTTATTTTTATGATTTTGGCTGCAATATAATGAATTTGCCAGTGATTTTTGTTTTTGTTCCTGCTCATGTAGTACAACTGCAGAATACCTCGCACATTTGAGCCGCCAATCAGAAGAGTCTAGCTAGCTAGCTTGGCTGATATGTTTTGCGTCATTAACAGCTCGTAAAGAGGTCACAAACAATTATACCTTGATTATTTATTGCTTTGCCTCACTATTTATACAGGAAAAAAACAGAACTGAATAAATTCTGAAATTGGAACCAACAACTCCAATGTTGTTTTACACTGTCCTTACCGATTGAGCTAACGATGGGTTGATGAAAGGTGGGTTTGCATGATTATTATAACCCTATCACTAACCCTAACGGTTACCATGTGCGCATGCGCAGGTTTAGCTAGCTAGCTAGCTAGCTAGACTCTTCTGATTGGCGGCTCAAATGTGCAGGGTATTCTGCAGTTAAGCCCATTCGGAATCAAGATTTAGTGCAAATCAGCCATTAAATTACACATTTTTATCAGATAAACAAAGCCTTTAATGCAATCAAAATTCTTCATGTTCTCTCTAGGGCAGGGATCTGTTGAGGAGAATTGATCAGCAGAACGATCAAAACGGGAGAAGCAAACGCGACACAGGCAAGAAGATCCGCCTTCTGGAAGAGGCGTTGTCCGAGAGGAAGTCGGCCTTCAATGCAGTTGCTGCAAAGTAAGTTCACTAAATCTTTCTGAAGATACTTTGGCAGTATTCAGGGTACAAGTTGTTCAGACTCATGAAATAGTATAGTATTAATGACTGCTTTGAGAGAAATAGTTGTTTTATTACGCTCAAGGGAAGGTTAGAATTGTGCTATTCCCCGAGGCTTGCCGAGGGGAATAGCCCAATTGTAACCTTCCCGAGAGCGTATGAAAACAACTATTTCTCGAATATTAAAGCAGTCATTAATACTTTTATATGCCGAAAAAAAATAGACTAAAAAATAAAAAATAAAAAATATTTTACATTTTTGTCGAAGACGGGATTCGAACTCTTGCGTACAACAAGAGGTGTATCGAAAACCAACGCTTAGACCACTCAGCTATCACGCGCCGTTAACATGCTTGGCAGTTTTCTCTAATATATACATTAAAATGGATTTTCGTCTTCATGTCAACAATGCAAGATAAAATTGTCCGTAAGATCGATCGAGATTCAATTGTATTGAAATTGCCGACCAATTTTTCGCACACGTATGGTATCCTCCATCGCTCAAACCATTTTTTAACATGTAAACCTATGGGGTAACCATGGAGACTGACTTATTTTTTTAATGACCATGGTTATTAAAAATATTGAAATGTTTTAAGCATGGTTACCGGGAATTTTACAGGAACAGTTGAAGTTTATGAATGTAATTTCGACCAATCAGATGGCTGGATTACTTAAGTGAGGTATATAATTATTCTTATGAAATTCTTAAATCAAATTGTTGTCATTTCTTTTTAGGCTGATTAATTATAAATGAACAATGTCAGATGTGCAAGTCCGGTTACATAGGTTCTTCAGTGTTTGAAAACAAAATTATATCTCATCTTTATTACATCAAAGTTTGCATGACTTGATGACTTGCAGTTGACTTGGAACATGATAGATTGAAACACTCCAAGATTAAATTTGTTAAAATAATCAACTTATGTCGACAATCTGGACGATGGGAGCGATTATAGTTACACTTAACTCACTGCCTAGCTTCTTCATTATCAGAACTTTCTGACTATAAAGAAAAGAGTGTGTGTCCCATCCACTGTGGTAGCCATTTAAAAGTAGACTCCATCTTTTAAAGAGTTTTGATTGTTTCAAAGTGATCACAACTCAACTTCTTGATACAGAAGTCCAAATTCTATATCAATCCCAATTTTTCCCTCAAAGATGTATGCAGGTGATATTAACTTTGCGTTTGTTTGGAGGATTTGTGATTCAACATTTATAGAGTGGTGAAGTGTGACGTCATCAAAAAACTATTTTTAGAACTTCTCAATTTTAACTTCATTTTCCGAAAGAGCATCAAAAATAATGTCCAATTGAATATGTTAAGCATTGGTTGAGATAATGACCATCTGAATAAATATATTTGCTATAGGAACGCTGGTTCATAACTTTACGAATAACACTTAACGACCGGTTTTCGACATTTGGACATAATTTTTGATGCTCTTTCTGAAAATGGAGTTTAAATTGAGAGATTCTATTTTCAAGACACAGCTTCTGTACTCTTTGTTCCCCCTTAGTGTCTGTAGATGTGGAGATTTACTTTACTATGTTCTTCCTCTCTCCTCTGTTTGCTCAGATTGTCCAAAACAGAAGCCGAGCTGTCCTTGGTGTCCCACAGATCACATGACCTTGACACTGTCCTTGAGGACACAAGACAGGAGATGACCTCTACTATGACATCACACCAGAGAGATATGCAGGCACTGAGAGAGGTAGGTAGATAAAGGTCAAGACAGATTTTTGTGACCTTCAGACTTTCCTTACGAAAGCCATGTACTCTTATGGCTGAAATATATGAAATAGATGAAATATAGAGGGTGTTTTGAGGGAAGAGAAGAGATCGATAAACTAGAATAAAAAAGGGACATCACTGGGCGTTGTGGTGTTCGCCTGTAATCCAGCTAACAATGGAAGTTACAAACTGATTCAGACGAGGACGCGTGTTCGAAACTGATTCCCATCTTTTGGATGGTGACGTTAAAGGTCCACAGACGTAAATAATCATATCTGATCGATACACGTCTGCAAAAACCCAATTGCACACACGCACAAGCAGATAGAAAGGAGAAGCAGAAGAAGTTATGTGAGGAACTTACGCAAGCTTTATGATTTACTACTAAAGAAATCCACATATTGTAAACCTACTCCTGATGATTTATTATCACTTTCTAATCCAACAGGAGAAAGTGGCTTGTGAGACGAAGCTGATCACTGAGCTCTCATCGGTGAAGGAGAGATACAGAGAGTACGAGGCGAAGAACGAAGAGCTGGAAAGGAAAGTACAGCTCCAGCAGGAACAGATCTATGAGCTGAAGGAAGAACTGATGGCAGCTCAGGCTGAGGTGAAGATGCAAGCTACTAGGACTGAAGGTAGGAAATATAGATAGAGGGAGAGAGAGGGAGGGAGGCAGGCAGAGGGAGGGAGAGGGTCAGAGGAAGAGAGAGAGATGAAGAGAGATGAACAATGAGACACTTAAACGATTTAGAGAGTATGCAAGCTAATAATAACCGAATGTAGGGCAGTAACAGAAACAAAGACGGGGAGAGAGAGTGTGATAAACTCGAAAGGAGAGCCCAGCAGCAAAAGCAGTATTGTAGGCTTTAGGAAGAACTTGTGACAACTTAAATAGGCAGGTAATGTAGATGAAAGCCACATGGTAGGAAACCCAGAGTGTCATAGAAAGAGGGAGAGAGACAGAGACCAAGAGAAAAGACATAAAAATGCATTGAAGAGAGAGAGAGAGAGAATGAGATAATTCTGGAATACAGAATAATGTGAAGCAGGACAAGAATTAATAATATCCAGAAATTTAAACAATATACTAAGTCTGCTGAAGTTGTTGGAAAAGTGAGAATAGTGGGAAAAGGGACAAAATGGGACTGTAAGATTAATCTTGATTTACGTGTCAAGGTAATATCAAATGATCTTTTGCTGCTTTGTTTTATTTGTTTGCCTTATTCAATGATTGTATGTTTGTAACCCTCTCCCAGAGCTGCTGCAGGTAGAGCGCATCAAGCACAGGGACGACGTCGGCGGCATCGACCGGCGACATCGCTCCGAGGTCCAGCACCACCGTCAAGGGTTCGAGGAGAGCGAGCGGGCGTACAAGGACCGCATCGATCGCCTGGAGGACCACAGGAGGGGTATCGAAGAGGAGCTCAGCAGGGTCAAGGCCCAGCAGCTCAACGAGAGACTCTCCCTGGAGGAACAGATCCTTGCCACCAAGAAACAAGTCAGGGATGAAGAGGTAAAAGTTCTTTGACAAATATTTTGTATGTATGATTTTTTCACCTGTGATGCAATGCAAGTTTATGAGTGCTCCCAAATGGGAACAGCAAATTTTTCCTTTCTAGTTGATACCATGTCTATGTGTGAATCCTAGGTTTTTGGTCTTCTTGGTGTTTGCATTTAACAAATCAGAATACTATCCTACAATATGTGGCTGTACAAAATGCAGAAGGATGTGTTTGCTAGTGGGGACTCGAAATGTCACCAGTTGAGAGCCAGAGAGGTGGTAATGGTAACTCCATGTGGAGAGATATGAGTTGATGTCTTTCTGGCTCTTGGCAGACAATATACAGGAGTTATTGAGTATTGCTTTTCAGCTTTTCTTTTGCAAGAAGTAACAAAAAGTATGATAGTAAGGCCTAAAAAAATAAATTGATGACTTGGCGTAACCCGCCCGACCCTATTTTTATCGCCGACCCTACGCTTTTTTATTTTTTTTGATCCGATTGCGATTGCGTAAATATCGATATCGCAGTGGGGGAAAACCCGGATGTTTGTTGCTTTCGTTCTGGGCTTTGCCGCGCCGTGTTTGGGCCAGCTCGCGCGCCAAGTGCAGCGGGCAGGTACGCCATAGTACCGCTATGTGTCCATATATGTGTGTGTGTGTGCGTGGAGTTATTTGAACATATTGTGGTCTACCCCTCTCATCAGATCATCCCCAAGGTCTGAGGACCTATCTACGCCACTGTATGTATGTATGTGTATGAATGGCTAATTTCATGTATGCAAATATAAGCAACAAAACGACAACAAAAAAACAAAAAAACAAAAAAATCGCCCTACCTACCCTAATTTTCAGTGACCCGTTACACCAAGTCATCAATTTTTTTTTTTTAGGCCTAAGTATATCACCAAACAAGTGATTTGGTTATGTCAGTCAGTAAAAAAATAACCCTTTAACAATCCATAGTTAACTAGGTATTAGGGGAAGGGAGGGGGATGTGACAGTTGCAAGGTTCTTCAAGATTTGAATCAATTTCTCTAATGAACCTTTAAAAAGTAAACATCACTGCATTTCTAACTTCAAATATAGATACGTGTATGGTATGTTTATGTTTGCTTATTTGTTTTGTAACAGCATCAAAGAAGCAAGCTTTTGGAAGACAAGATCAGAGTTCTCCAGAATGCGAAAGATGATATCCAGCAGCATGCGAGCAACCAAAGCCAGATAGTCGCTGAGGTACAGGCTCGAAACAGCAACCTGACACTGGAAGTAGAGTCCCTCAAGAGACATCTTCAGGAGATGACACAGGTGTGTGAACATGCCTCTTGTTTTTGTTCTGTCTGTGCGTCTGTTTGTTTTTTTGTTTGATTGTCTGTTTGTCTGTTTGTCTCTTTGTCTGCCAAGTGGTAGTTGAGGTACAGGCCCATAGCAACAACCTGACCTTGGAAAAAGGGTCCCTTAAGAGACATCTTCAAGAGAAACGTAGGTGTGTCAACGTTTTTCTTTTTTGTTTGTTTGTCTCTTAGAGTGTTTATCTGTTAATGTGTTTGTTCTGTGTGGTTGCCGAGAAGGAGGCTCATAACAACAACCTTACATTGCAAGAAGAGTCTCTCAAGAGACATCTTCAGGAAATTATGCGGGTGAATAAATAAATGTGTCTTGTTTGTCTTTTTGTCTCATGAGTGTGTGTGTTTGTGCCAAATGGTTGCTGTGATACACATCAATAGTAAACCTAACCTAGCTTAAAAATGCATGTAGAACACGTGCAAGAGTCTGTTGTGTGTGCCAATTTGTGTCAGATTGTCAGGTTATGGTTTAATTCAAGCTCTTATAGGCATTTCACTCAAAATTGTTACCCCTGTACTATTTATCTTTTAGTTATTCACACTTTCCTTCTTCGCTCGTAACTTTCTTTTTTACTTTGATCTTGTTGACCCCACAAGATTAATGATAAAACTACATGTATTGTCTTACAGTAATCATTTATAGACAGGCACATTTTTTCCTACTTTTTTTTCCCAAGAGAACAATATCACAAATATTCCATAACAGTCAAACCTGCTTTATTAACCACCTGTTTACAAAGACCACAATTTTTGTTTCCCTTGAAAATGGTTTCTCATTGAAACATGTTTTAAAGGGACCTGTACATAAAGACCACTTTTCTTGTCTTCCTTGGGTGGTCTTCATAGACAGGTTTCACTGTCTGTCATTTGCTAATGTGGAGATTTATTTTTTATTTGACCAGGAGCTAGCAGGGAAGAACAACGAGAAGATGTCAGCCGTGCATCACGCAGAGCTCCAGCATCAGAAGGAGTCTCAGAGAATGGAGACGAAGCTAGCCCACTTACAAGAGTTCAAGGAGCAAGCCGCAGATTTGGAAGCAAAACTCTTGGGTAAGAAATACATTGAATATTATTATCTCCGCTATCTTCAGCATCCATAATTCTGCTCCCACTGGTTAGACCAATGAAGAAATTCTTGGTCAGGTGTTACCTTAAAGCCCCACTTCACTACTTATAGCTACTTGCACTCTCTATACAGCCAACTATGCCTAAGCGGTACTTGTTGATCCCCCATGATGCCCTTTTTTCTTATGTTCATTGAGAGCTGATTTGATGAGATAACCACCTGCCAGTGATCTTGCAAGGAGGTCCAATCGCTCCATGCCAAACTAGTGCAGAGGGGCTTTAAAGTTTGTTTATTCATTTACTTATTTAGATTCCAGGGAGTGTTTTACAAAGACTAAGATTGACTTTAAATTGGACTTATTCATGGCAGGCCTTTCATGCCACTGTTTGCTCTCACCATTTAGATTTTAGAAACTCTGTCGATATGTGACCTGCATTTATACGTCCCTTGAGAAACCAATGCCAGTAAAGGTTGAGAGCAAACAGTGGCATAAACGTGTTTTTTTTTTTTAGATAGCCGTAATGGTAACAAAAAGGGAATTGGGATGGAAACAGGTTGGCTATGGTCCAATACTGTTCTACTTGTATCAAATTAAACTTACATGCGAGGTATTGGATTTCCTTTTCTTTCAGATCAAACCAGGAAACACAGGTGCGAGTTGGCCAGCAAGCAGGAGGAGGTCGACTCCTTGCAAGAGCACCTGAGAGTCAGAGACATGGACATAGCACGCTACCAGGAGGAGGAGAACCATAGAGCCAGCGCACTCCAGTCTGCCCTCTCAAGCTATCTCAATGCACCCCGCTCTCCAGCGGTGACACCCAGGAGATAGCACAGATGGGACTACAGTGGATTATGTCAGTAAGATCCTTTAATCATGAAGTTTGAAATGTTCTTACAGCTAGGAAACTTCATGTAAACATAATATTGTAAGAGTCACATACACGAGCAGTACGTAGAGTTTCCCGCTGTGACTGCTAATTTCCAGAAATACTACCTGGAGATAGCATAGTTGGGACTTCAGGGAGGTAAAGTATTTCTGTAAGATCATGTATTTATAAAGCAGCTTATTTCTTTCTATTGGGAAAAGTTAGATTTAATTTTAATTTTAGAGTTAGAAATTTCTAGGTGTTATGAGATAGATATGAAGAGTTTGCTGTCGGGCTACACCCCCCCCCCCAACCCCTTTTCATGAATATTCACGTTTATAGAATTTATCCTGGAAGTTCTGATGTCATGCTCATTCCATGAACTGTTTCTCCTTCACTGTTTCGTGGATAAACTCCATGAACAAACAGAGACATGAATTTTCACGTTTAATAGAATTTATCCTGGAATTTTTGGTGTCTTGCTCTATCCATGAACTGTTTCTCCTTCACTGTTTCGTGGATAAACTCCATGAACAAACATAGACATGAATATTCACGTTTAATAGAATTTATCCTGGAATTTCTGATGTCTTGCTCTATCCATGAACTGTTTTTTCTTCACTGTCTCGTTGATAAACTCCATGGACCGGAACACTGCATTCTTCTATTAAGAAATATGCAAGATATTTTCTACATTAAAGATGCATGTTTGTTTTTTTGTTGATAGATCCTATTTTATTAAAGTCCTATCAATAAATCAATTTATAATTATTCTTGTTCAAAGAAGATATTCATTGATTTTAGATACTGATTTTATTATTTTTATTTTTAAAGTTGCCCGCATGCTTAGACCATGTTTTGCAAGGTGCTCAATTTTGCCTTTTGGTGTATTGTCATGAAGAAACGTCAGCTTAGCAAAGTTTCTTTGGGTTTCAACAAAGAACGTTTTGCGGTCACAATGTTTCCTGCAACACTAAACAATCGTTCCTCAATGGGTCTAGACCCTCCTTCCCCATTCCCCCCATAACGTTTTTTGTTCATAAGTGAGTTGCCAATTTTGTTTGGTCCAGAGTCTTGAATACGATGATACTTGAGGGGATTTCTTAGTGAAAATACATGTTTCATCCCCTCCTCATACCCGGTGCATCTCTTCCTGACATGCTTTATGAACACACAAAACCTCCCGTAGAAGGACAAGTGAGATACCTACCGGGGACAAAACCCTCAATATCTTGGGGGAAGCACCAGCAAAAAGTATTGCCGCTGACAACATGAGGTTACCAGCAGGAAGGTCAGCTGTGAAAGGCTGGCTATACCACTGATGGGATGGGTATAACAGGCTGGCTTGTGCAAACATCGTTGCTTGTTAGCAACCAAACTCCCTTTCCTATGGCTGACCTCACCTGCTGCCTCACCATTACACAGTGGGCAAACTTCAAACAGCTGCAACAAGCAGCTTTCCAATCCTATGTATTTTGTATTCCATACCACAGGTTTTCGTAATGCTTCTGATATATAGTATTCTTTTTGCCTGCGTCAATGTTGTACTGTCATCAAAATCCAGAAAAACATTGTTCTTTTATACAAAATTTTGTAGTTGAGGTTGTTGAGGAACTTCTTATCCAATACTACTTCAACCATTCTTCTGTGAGGACTGCTTCCTGGAGTCGGCCACGCCTCTCTGTCCTCGAGAGGCCCGTGCTCACACTTGGCGTCTCGTCCCATACCTGACGCCCAGGAGTGTTTGTTTGTGACATGATGTGTCACACCACGGTCGCTTGCCCATCCACGTCGAATCCTCCCAGCTGACGGATATTAGCTACAAGGTCCTTCCTACAGACTTTTCCGCAACATGTTTGCCCAGTTCACTGACGTTACATCGGTTCTCAGGCTTATTCTATATGAAAATTCCTATGATACAGCAAAGTCTGTCAAACTGTTGCTTTATTTGATTTATTGCCGAACAATACACTACAAAAGAAATCTCACTCGATACTGGATCATGGATGGAGCCAGGAGTGTTTGTTGGTGACATGATGGGTCAGACCATGCCACTTGGCCTGTGTGAAGAAAGGTTGATGTTAAAACACATCGTCAATCTCGACCACGGTCGCTTGCCCATCCATGTCGAATCCTCCCAGCTGATAGAAATTAGCTATAAGGTCCTGCCCACAGACTTCACGCAACATGTTTGCCCAGTTCACTGACGTTAATCGGTCCTCGAGCTCCTTTTTGTTTTGATTAAAAGATTTGAGATTGGCTGCTGTTGCTCCAGAATCCTTTTCAGCATGTTATGGGTGGAGCCCCATCTCGTTTCAACGTCTTGAATTAGTTTATGTTCTGGAAACTTGAGGATTCTTTGATGGTTAGCTAACCTGTACTCTGCTTTTGCTGATTGATGAACAAACTCAACTAGTTTTGAACACCTAGCAAGCATCGAATGGATGCCCAGACATTTCAATCTGGCTTTAACGACAAGGGATATTTGCTGCAGTTTCCTGGATGATACTTGGGTCAGCTCCCCGTAGAGCTCTAAAGGGATATTTGGTAGGTCCAATCCTTAGTGCACTTTCTTTGATGGGTTAAAATTACACTTGAAAGTGAATCTCTTTGATGCATACATCAGGATATGATTATTAATCGACTCTAGCATGCTGGTATGCCTGTAAAAATAAACAATTGTATGAAAAGAGGAATTGTCATAAAATCAACATCTGGCTTACAAGTAAACAACAATATCAACTACATTCAAACATACCTACAAACTGTGTTTTATTTATCAGTGTGTTGATCAAGATTCTTATTATCATATGTACTGATATCAGATTGGATCAAAATATGATTGATGTCTGCACTTTAGATGCAGCAATGTCTGTCAAACTGTTGCTTTATTTGATTTATTGCCAAAACAAGACAATACAAAAGAAATCTCACTCGATACTGGATCATGGCTGAAGCCAAATCTACAAAATCACTGCAGTGCACTTAATCCATTCACAGCAAAAGAACACAGAATATAAGAGAAAATTTGGACGAATTGGTTAGCTATACAACCAATACAAGCGATCTATCATGACCCTGCTGAAAACACAAATTTCATTACTTTTCAACACTTTTCATTACCTCTCAACAGCAAGAGTTATCACTTTTCCTTTTATAAATTGTCCTTTTGATGTACGTTGGCACTCTGGTTAGTCCACCTGTATCCACCCCAGGCTCCCCGATGAAGTACGCCATGAGGGGAGCTTTGGGGTCCACTTCCTTCTTCTTAAAGGAATTTAAGATGTTACGGAGGAGGGTGTGCCTGCGTACATTTAACCGAAACTGAGGTACATCGTCGTCTACTTGAGCAGTCCTCCAGCTGTCCAGGCACTCTATCACTCTTACATGATGAAGATGGTGAAGATGTTGGTGATGTCGTGACCAAGAACAAAGTAGTTTTATGCACCTGGAGGGTCCAGAACAGGTGAAACCCTGCACTGGAGTTTCGAGAATATATTTAATTACACCTTGAGGTAATTAAATTTTTGTTCCTTGAGATTGCCTTGGTAAAAAAGCTGTGTATTGAAGATTTATTTCTCAGATTCATTCTGACCGAACACAGGGTTAATTGTGGCAGGGCGAGGCCACGTGCAAGTACTTGCTGAATGTTTGTCGGTCAGCATCATTTCGATATGTCGCAGTTGCAACAGTCTTTCTGATGACTCGTGTGCTTATTTTCCCTTTCAAGCCCAGCTTGGTCCAGGTCTTCTGGAGCACAACGCTGGGCTTGTCGGTCCTCTTTCCAGCTTGGAGGAAGTATGGCGCTGTGTCACCTTCTCCATCTTCTCGGATCTGTTCTAGGTACGTCCTGAAGTATGCACACTCCTCTGCGTTAACTATCAAGTTCTGACAGCCACATCAAGAACATGAAATCTCCCATGATAATAGAAAATACGAATGATTTGAATCACCATTTTATGCCTTTTAAAATGACTTTTACAAAATATTTTCAAGGATGCTAATGGCTTTCCATAACTTTTAAGTCCAACTAAGAGATAAGGATCTTTGTGAAACACCTCCCAGAGTGTGCTTTACGGTACACGTATTTTTTCCAATGAGCAAATTTCAGAGTACGCATTGGAATGTAAACATTGAAAGAGAAGACGAGACCCATTTTATTGCCATTGCTTTTGAATCAGACTTTATAGTTTCGCATTTGATAAAAATACTCCTTGGTATATAGCAACTCTATGTTGAACGTAATTATACAGTGCGTCCCAGAAAAAAATGAAACTGAGAATTATCGATGTTTTATCATAACTTAATCACAATTATAATTGATAAATGACACGTATTTGTAAAGCTTAGATCCTCCTCTTTCATTTGATGCAACTCATATAATGCATATTGCATAATGCATATCACGCATGAGTGATTAAAATCAATTTGAAGAGAGGAAAACAAAAAGCCATTTGGTGGATATCTGAATTTCATTGAGTAAATCATATTTCTAGAAAGTTGAGTTTCTGCCCTTTCATATGACACCTCAATCAGGAAAAATGAGCTAGGAATACCAAAGTTCTGTTTGTTTAAAGTAGTGCTTGCATTTCCATTATTTGATTAAATTTATATAATTTGAATTCGTTTTCACTGGCTGCCTGCCGTATCAACAAACGAAATTAACAAAAGACTTAACTCCGTTTCGTTGACAATCAGCCGTAGACGAAAGACTTCATGCATGGCTGATTGTCAACGAAACAGAGTTAAGTCTTTTGTCAATTCTGCTTTTTGCTACGGCAGGCAGGCAGTGAAAACGAATTTGTTTGCTAAAATTATGAAAATGTAAGGGCTACTTTAAAAAAACAGAACTTTGTCATTCCTTGCTCATTTTTCCTGATTGAGGTGTCATATGAAAGGGCAGAAACACAACTTTCTAGAAATATGATTTTCTTTTTGAAATTCAGATATGCGTGTAATATGCATCATATGAGTTGCATCAAAAGAAAGAAGAGGATCTAAGCTTTCTAAATATGCGTCATTTATTAATTATAAATGTGATTAAGTTATGATAAAACATCGATAATTCTCGGTTTCGTTTTTTCTGGCACGCACTGTACACTGTAATATTCAGAATGAGTACACTTGACGTGAATTGTCCCTATATTACTAGAAATGGGTTAGCACGTATTTCAGGCATTGCGCGTGATGATGACGTCAAGAATTTTCAGCCAAACAGAATGACGCGAGGCTGCAGATATTCTCAGACGATTTTGGTTGATGTTGCTGTTGTTGAGTTCAGCACAGGCGCGTAAGCCCCCCCCCCCTTGGTATTTTTATGTGTATAAACCCCCCCTCCCCCCCCCCCCCCCCAAAAAAAAAAAAAAAAAAAAAAAAAAAAAAAAAAAACCCTCCCCCTTTGGGTTTTTTATTTTTTATTTTTTTAATTTTTTTTAATAATAATAATAATAAAAAAATAAAAAATATTCCCATGGCTGACCTAAAGAAGGTGACCTTACCCCCCCCCCAACGGAGCAAAATGTCAAATTTTCAAATTCCGAGACCAAAAAAAAAAAAAAAGTGTCTTCTAACCCCCCCCCCCCCCCCCCCCCGCTTATTCAGCGGCTGGCTGAGTCGATGCGAAATTTTCGGCCCGATTTTAAAATGTTAAAACACCCCCCTTGAAAAAATCCTGCGTACGCGCCTGGTTCAGCATTATATGAAAATCAATCAAATTTGGATGATTTGGGAAGGGGCGACTGATGTATCAAAGGGACAGGAAATCGAAT